TCAATGAAAGACATCCGAGGTAAATTTCACTAAACTTGATATTGTATTGGATTATCTGTAGTTAGCTTTCGTTTTTCTTTAAGTAAAGAGATTCAAAGCCTAAAACTGTCGGCCTTGGAAAACTTTGTCGAAGAAGCTTCCAATAACAAAACTACCCCCTGGGGGTGGGGGTGGGGGGTGAGTTGTGCACAAAATTCCTAAGTGGGAGAGTATACTCGCGCAAAAAAACAAAAAACAATGTAGTGCATTTCGATTCGATTTAACTGCCGCATGGTTTTTATTATGGGAGAAATTATCTTCATCTCGAATGAAAAATAAATGAAGATTTTTTCAGTTTCATTCAAATTGTTCTCCATGTGACTTCCGTATCAGGAGCTCCACTTTTAGGCAGTGCCTAAATAAATAGATTATCTTTATTGTAAAGGCATGCATGTCTTTTTTTTTTTGCTGGTCAATTTTTATGTCAATATTTTAGAACAGCTGGATCTTCCTCATTCCTAGTCAATAGATGGTAGTCATGGTGGTCATAGTAACTAGTATTGAACTCACCACTGCAGTTGCTGGGGATTCCTTCAATTCTTGTGGAGTCAAAACAGCCAAGTATCCCACATTAACCAGAAAATAACAACAGGTTACCAGGACAACGCTACCGAGAACTGACCATGGCATGTTTCTGTATTAAAGTTACGTAAAAACCAATACTGACGGATATGAAGTTACTAGCAGTGTATCCTGCCCACCTCCCTCCCATTTTTAATACGAGTAGAAACAAAACTACCGCGAAGTCGGCATCCCTCTGAGGAAGCTTATACCAATTATTTTTGTTATATATATATGTCTTTTTTTTTGATTTCTTCTATACGAAGTGTTTAGTGTATCGTCTTTGAGTGAAAGAACGGTAGAAAAAAATATAAATCTGAAAAGCACAACAGCCACATCAAACAGCAACAACAAATAAAACCCGCTTTGTTTCATATTCATTTCAAGTTTTACCAAACCTGCATAAGATTACCTCTTGGGGTTCTTAATTTCTTCAGTGACGTCATTAAGGCTATCCCTGTCAATCAAACGAAAGACACCAGTTTAAAGACGACTTTACTTGTTCTTTAATATAAAGTCTAACTCAGCAAAACCGTGTCTCTAATATGTGTAGACGGGGATCTAGTTTTCGGTTTGGTTAAATTTAACAGCAACATTTGTTGAAATATTTTCTTTATATCGTCAAATATGGCGGCCACGGTTTTTTTGGCTGCTGGTTGTGCAGTTTTAACCTCAAGACAGAGATTGTTTTAGAGAATGTATTCTACAGCTCACAGTTACAATGTTGAATTTAGATTTGGGGTTTAGTTAACCACACACATGTCACTGAACATGCACAACCTAACAAACACTTGCACTAAATTTTCCAAATGCTTCAAGAGATTTATAGATACTCGTCAAAACACTGGAGTACTTTGGAGTACTTTTAGGTTCAGTACATATCCTACAACTGGCTACTGCCATTTGTCAATTAGTATTAATTAGCAATGCTTAATATTAATATTATTAGTAATAGAAATATAAGTAAAAAAGGTGCAAAAAAGCGGTTAAAACCTGTATTGGAATAAATTTAAGCTAGAAAGTCGTGCGATCAGCATAGTTTGGGTTTCCTGTGGCAATTGATCCCATGAGTCTTTGCGCGTAGAAGAAGACCTCATGGCCGCCACTAAAAATTTGCTCTTAATAATTTTCATCGTTTTTCGTCAGAAGACGCCAGGATGTAAGTAAATTTATGTTGTAATTTCAAGAAACGTTTCTCGATCATGATTTGAAGTAATTTTTTCTAGGTTTTACCACACATTGTAAGATTCTTTAAATAAAGTTTTGTGCGTTGGACGACAAGCGTCAGAAAGGCTCTAAACGAAACCAAAGAAAACAACAAGCACGAAAAGGCACTTGAGTTATAGTTATATGGTTATAGTTATATGGAAAAAGCTATGCAAATACGTGAAGTGAAGTACTATACGTACCATCCTTCGTAAGCCCAGAGTCCACTCTGAAAAGCAAGTCCAACCATTCCTATCTGAGTCGTGGTGTCTTTGAACGAGTCCTTGAAGCTTGATGTGTGGCCTGGAAACGAAAGATGGAGTCTGCTGCCTGGATTTCTAAAATAGTATTTAATGTGTATATATATATATATATATACTAACCTTGAGCAAGACTATAAAACCCAGTACCAATTAGTAACATCAGAGCAAGGAATTTACCAACCGTGAAGACTATCTGAACACGAGTTGCCCAGTTAGCACTCAGGCAGTTGAGCAGACATAAGGTACCTGGATTTAAAGGAAACAGACCCATTCAGCTCGAGCTTATTATTACAGTCGACTCTCTTTTAACGACCACTCTCGTAAGCGACCATCTCCAATAAGCGACCACTTTTAGAATTTCCCGTTTTGTTCCCCATCTAAACTCTGTAAAAAAAACTCTCTCGTAAGCGACCACTCTCGTAAGCGACCGCGACCACCTTTGGGGTTAAAATTTTGGAATTTTTCATTGTTTTTTCTCTCCCGTAAGCGACCACCCAAGAGCCAGTAATGGTGACAGATCCTTTAACAATAAAAAATTTAAGAACATAGAGTCATCGGGTACGTATAGAAAACCCGACGAAATATTTACAATTACACTACTGTAAACATATAGCACATTCAAAATTTTGATTAAAACAGTTTAATCGTTAATACATTAGTTTTTATGCGTCAGTTACAAAATTATAAAGGGTTTGGGCTTCCTGTGTTGAGATTCCCATTGTTTGGGCTTCCTGGGTTAGCTCTCGTAAGCGACCATCTCCCGTAAGCGACCACTTTCTCCTGGCCCCGAGGTGGTCACTTACGGGAGAGTCGACTGTATTTCTTTCATTTGTGGACACATTGTACCATTCCCTTGGGTATTTTCCTTCGTTAAGAAAACTTTGAGAAATCTATAACGTGGGCACAATTTCTCATACCATTTCTTTAGGTTGTGCACTTGTAATGCGAAAAGGTTACAATATGAATATAATCGTATTTTTGTTGTTCAATGGGAAAAAATAAGCAATAGTCAAATAGGCCTATTAGTTCATTTAATCCAGCTTCGAGTTTTCCTGTTGCTAATAAGGATTAGCCTCGACTGATTTCGTAAAGCCAATATATTCATGCTTTCCAGTAAAAGTCTGTGTGAATTTTAAAAAAAATTGTATTTTTGAAGCTGCGTATTCTTTACTTTACCAATGGTATCAGTTTATGTATATTCTTGACACTGAAGTGAGTAACCCTGAGTAAATGAGTATAACATAACTATGAACACGGCGTTATCTATGAATTTGAAACATGGTCTATTATGATAACGACACAGGACATTGCTGTATTTTATCAAAAATAACCTGTTTTAATTTGTCTAAGTTTGCATTGATTCATCAAGCGAATTCGGGAAAGTTAAAGGCCCATTTTAAAAAAAACATGCAACATAACCAACGTTAAACTTTCTTCGTCAACATGAACTACTTAATTAACCTAAGGTTTGTGGAAGTCCCTATTGTGATTTTTTTTGTTCAAATCTGCCTTAATTTTAAATATATTATATTTATTTTTCAGGACATTGGAGAATTCCTCCCGAATTTCCTAGTCACGCTCACACTTGACGTAAATTCACTGTACTGCAAATGCAGATGTTTTTAACGAATTTAAAGCCACCAATAACCTGCAGTTGCCCAAGAAACCTACATATGGACCAGACTGCTATGATCTTCAGAAGAGGTACCAGATCCTCTCGGTCGGTGCAGCCGGGAAAGAATGGCCCGAGAACATAATGGGCAAATGTGAGTTGACCGATTGCTTTGGAACAGGGCGTGGTGATGAGGGTTTTAAGCCATATCAAGGCAAAGGCAGGAACTGATCCAAGAGTGTGTTTAATGAGAATATATTCACCTAGATAATACAAAGATGGAAAGTAATTTAGCAGATAACATTGCAGATAATTTAAAACTAATGATTGCATTTGAATTTGAAATATCTGAAATGAATTATTGACTTGGCGATTTGTTATTTGCGTGGATTCAATATTTAATTGTATATAGACAAACCTACCTCCACACTTGGGAAAGGTTAAACCCAGCTCTACCCAACACAGTCCTCCGATGAAGGACACCACAGCACATAAAAGCCATACAAAGAACGCCAAACCAACCGACCCACTGTATACCAGAACCCAACGCGCTGATATAAAGATCCCCGAACCAATCATGATTCTTGCCACCATAGACGAAGCACCAGGAATCCCCAGGACACGTTTGAGAGACATGAGTTGTGTAGTGGGAACTGTGGCTTGGCTATCACTTTGTGGTACTGATGTAGACGTTAAGTTAGTTGTTGTCATGGTGTTGGGTGTTCCAGCGTTTTGGTGTTTTGAAGCTCCTGAAGTCATTTGTATACTAGAGATAGGGTAATTAGAAAGTAAATGATTGATTAATTATTAGTATATAACTTTAAACCGGTTCCAAAGTATTTTGGGATTTTCCATTTTAGAAAATAATGTATTAGAATGGTTTTATTAGCCAAACTAGCATGCCAATGGATGAACTGCCATTCGATGTTTATCAATTTTTTTAAACACTAGCAAACTTCAGCGAAAATTCAATTGTTTTGGTTTGAAAACCTATAAGAGAGGGACTTTGGAAGCTACTTCAATAAATAGGCAATACGCAAGTATGGTTCTCCTTTACTTTAATCAACACGCAAAATATCTGTGTTTA